TGACGCCCCCAGACGCCAGCCTGGCCCCCCACGCTGACCCACTCCCCCGTGCTGATGCCAGGACGGGCGCAACGCCGGCCGGCGATGGAGGTGGGGCGACCGCACCGCGAAGTGGGAGCGACGCGCCCCCGAAGAAGAGGGACAAAGCGCGGGCGAAGGACCAGGGCTCCTGTGCCCCGGGGCACCCCATGGGGCTGGCCAGAGGAGTAGGGCCAGGCTTCAAAGCAAGGACCATGACCCCAGGGCCTCGGGGCTGGCCAGAGAAGTGGGGCTGTGCCCTTGGAGAAGGACGGAGGTTCTTGAATCCTGGGATGCTCCCCTGGACCAGCTGAAGAGGCATGCTGTGACCCCAGGCAGCAGATTGGGGCCCTGAGGCCCTGGAGGGCTTCTGGAGGCTGGCCACAGCCACCTCACTCCACGGCAGCACCTTGGGGCTCTGGGTTCCCCATATTCATAGCAGAGGCCATGGGGAGCCCAAGGGTGCGTGGTGGAGGTTTTGGGGTGTATATCCTGAGTCCCCAGAGCTGTGTACGGAGGGCAGCTGGGCTGCCACTGCCTCTTAGTAAATGGCTTTTATTTTTGTACGGATGGCCGCATGGCCTGTTGTATGTGTGTTGCGTCTCCTCGGGTTCCCCCTTGCACACACACCTCTTCGTGCCCAGTGCCTGTGAACCCCCTGCTTCTGTCAGGTCCCCCCTCTTGCCCTCCTGCTAGCCCCTCCCCATGGCTCTGCTGCCTGCCCAGGGATGTGGGATGCAGGATTCGGGACCTGGCCTCCAGGGCAGGCCTGGGGTGAACACTACACCTTGTCTGAGCAATAAAAAGATTCTGTCCCAGAGATGGATGCCTCTCTTCATGGGCCTGGGGGCTGGGATTTGGCTCTACTCAAAGCTGGGGAGGAATGGGGGCAATGCTGCCTAGACGAGGACACTCAGGGATTAGATGGGGGAGATGGGAGAGGGCCTGGGAGCTTGAGACTGGGACTGTGCAGGGCCAGGAGCAGGACCCGAGATGAAGTGCGCCTGGGAGATGGTGGGAGGGCTTCAAACAGACCCTATGATAGTGGTTGCTGGGGTTTGGGGGACCAAGGCTGCTGTGGGAGCTGAGCACCGTTATTTGGGAAGCCAGAGTTCCCCTGATAAGTGCCAGGATTGGGCCCTGGTGACACCGGGTGACTTGCTGCATTTTTTCATCTGGGAAGGGGTAGGACTGCTGTGTCGCCACCCCAGGGGACAAGCATCAGCCACTTTGGGTGCTTTACCCTGTGACAACTGCTAGCAAAGCCCTGCCCAAGAGGCTGGTGGCATTTGCCTGGTGATGGTCACAGGCTGTGACATCTCCCTGCAGCACAGAGAGGGCTGGCATCAGTGGTGCAGGGATAAGCAGGTGGGAGAAGGAAGCAGGGATGCAGCGTGGGGTTTGGGGTTGCTGTGATGCTGGGGGAAGGCACTGCACCCTGTGTCATCTGTAGCATCCTCCCTGGTGGCATCCAAATCCAGCACTGCAGGGATGCTGTGGGCATGCAGCGTGTGACCAGGCTCAGGGCTCTACCTTTCTTCTTTCAAGCTTCGGGTACCCCCTGGCACTTACATGTTCGGGGCTGTGGCTGTGCCCTGCTTTCCCTGCCACGTGGGTTTCGAGACCTGGCTCTGCAGAACAGTCCCAGCACTCTGGCACCACAGCGGGGAGCAGGTGCTGCTATGCATGGGTTGAGCCCCCAGGCTTCACCCCCAGTGACACAGTGGCTGGGGGAGCAGGCACCCAGGGAGGCTGGATTGGTGGCTGGGAGCATGTAGGGCACCCCCTAGGACAGGATTATCCCTGGGTGGCAAAGCCAAGCAGCCCCAGGGTGTCTCTGTGCATTGCAGAGGGGTGATGCTGGGGGTTTGGCAGATGGGTAACCCTCCTGTCCTCTCTCTTCCTGCGCAGAGCACTCGGCAGCTGCGAAGACAGGGGGCTGCTTCCCCGGGTGGGCGCTGGTAACGCTGGAGGAC